AAAAAAAAAAAACTCCACATCGACCAGCGCAGGTAAGGCTGAGCGTCCCTTTGAGGGTTCTTTATGTCCGCGAATTTCAGCATTTGGACACGTTCACAGTCAGGGTTCCGTTCAAAAAAGAAATACCGGAATTCTTGTGTGATTAATAGCGTTGTTTCCTGGCCACCATCATACGCGTAGCAACGGACGTTCGAAGCCAGCTCTCACAATGACCACACAAGGTTCGGGCCACAGCGTGCGGACACGCGACCCCGCACGCAGGAGAAGGCAAACCGTATCCTGCATGCGTTGCCGTCGCCACAAGAAGAAGTGCGATCGAGCCCACCCCTGCTCTGCCTGCGTCGCCTCGAGCTCAGACTGTTCATTTCTGCAATCTTCTCAGATGGGAACATCTCCGGTGCCGGGTAGTCGATACACGCATACCAATCCAGCGCTGGATCTTTATCGGGCTGAACGGAACGATGTCCTGGAAAGCCCTACGTCTTCCTTTCAGACCGCAGTCAGGTCGCTCGAAGACGCACACACCAGCGGTCCCTCTGCACCATATCAGCGAAGGCGAAGTGAACAGAGCTCGCCTTCACACTTTCAAGATGGGGATCGCGAATCAAGCCTCTTCGATGCGCCGTTGGCCCACGCAAGTTTTGTTGACATGCTGCTCTCAACATGGCTGTCCCATTTCGACTACCTTTACGACTCGGTGCAGGGGACCTCGCTGCATTCCGACTGGCTGGATGCCAAGCTCGCGCTTCCCCTCGCGTCTGGCCACCTTTCACTTTTGAGTATTATTCTTGCTTTGGTGTGTCAGCTGGCACCAGAGAAGACCAAGACAATGTTGGCGGCATGCGACTTGCCTCAGCCCGACTTAGTCAAGCTCAGCCAAGACTGCATGCAGCACACCAAAGCCGAATCGGACCGCTTCATTCAGGAATGGGCAGCCAATGATATGGTCAGCGACCGTATCATCAACAGCCTTCATTGCTCTATGCTCGTCTCTGCCTTCATCAAGAACTCTGGATGCACAACCGAATACCGCACACGACTGTCACGAGACATTTCCTTCCTGCAGTGCTGTGGAATCCATCTGCTCGATCGTTCGGATCCTCCTCCTCAATTAGTTTCACTCACTCCGTCGTCCCTGCATCAGGCCCGGCACCTCTTCTGGGCCTACTATCAGTGCGATCGATTCGTCTGGATGCTTGATCAGACACACTCATACCAGATCCGTCGGAGCCACGCGGACATCCACTTCAAGGACCAACTTGGTACGCGGCATCACATCGCCGATTCGGTTACTCGACGCCTATCTCAGGCAGAGCCAGCCCCAGCGCAGGAAGTTTTACACGAACCAATTTTCTTGATTCCTGACGAAGTCTCGATCATCAGCTCAGCTTCGTCAGAATGCGCCGAGGGCGTCAAGGCGCGTCACCGGGGCCATTCGTCAAGATACACCTGTTTGATGATCTGCATCGCTGCAGCCACCGAAATGATCTCGGATCAATGTTTTGGTCTGGAAAGTAAGATCAGATCGTTCAACGCCAATCTTCTATCACGGAGTGAAGTGGAGAACAGTCTTCAAATCGTCACCTTAACGCTCTCCTCTCAGTTGCGATACCTCAAGAAGTTATGTGGAACCGTCCAATCCTTGAAGATTCGAACCTCACTAGAGTCGATGGCGCAACGACGACAAAACCACATTCTGCTGACAATGCTCGACACGTTAAAGTACAAAGCTTGCAGTCTCTTGCTCCAGCTTTCTTCACACGTGTCTCGAGGCACCGTC